CCCCCCCCCCACCTCTAATAAACTTCTCTTTTCTACCTTTCAAGTCCCTCCAGCCTCCTGTAGAGGTTCTTCATTCTCTCCTTTTTATTTTCCTCTATGTCCACTCTCTCAATCTCACCCTCTTCTCCTCACCGACTTTCTACAGTTCAGCCCCCTCTCAGGCTTTCTCTTTAATCCCACTTTCTGCCCCCCCCCCCTTCTCTCCAGACAGGATTTGGGCAAAGTGTTTAATGGTTTGCAACGAATGGTTAAAAGAGTGGGCTATAGTCAGGTGCTGCACATTTATGCAGACGCCTAACTCAGTTTTCCTGACTGTATTCTTCTTTCACAATATCTCTACAGTTGAAGAGAAATTCCAAAATAAACACTAATTTTGCCGTCACCTCCGATGCGCTATGCAGATCAGCAGGGCTAGAGTGGCACTTATAACCAGGGGGCTTATTTAACTGTTCTTGCTCTCTTATACTCATTCAAGAACACTTGTCTTGAGGGCCAGCAGGACATAACCCAGTTAGAGTGCTGACCCAAAGTTTTAGACAAAGGAGTTAAGAATATATTAAAGGGAATGTCGCCCTTCTGAGAAGTTGGAAGACTTGCAAGAAAGAGATTTTTTTGAAAGAATGACTAAAACTGATGCAGCGTAAGCCGAGGCATCCTGACATTTAATCCCTTGCATGGGTCAAGCTCCAAAAACACTGGATTCTACACTTCCCATTATGCAACCACCTCTTGTATTAGACCCTTCCTAACCCCATACCATCTGTTGGTAACGCAGGCTTTTTGTAAAACAAAAGTAAAAAATCTGTGTTGTCCAAACCCAAGTCTGTGCCTCTTTAAGATGCAGTCTGACTCGTCTATGCTTCATGGTGGGGTTTGTGAACAATCATAGTTGAGTTGAGTGGCTATTGTTTCACTACTCACTTTGTGTTGCAGGAGTAAAAAACCTTAAAATTAAATTATAAGACGACACTTACAAATATATATCATTGCTATTATTTCAGTCAAATGTTGGCCATAGATGTGCATGAGACGTTCACTTGGCCACTGAGCGTGGTTTTGCCCTTCGTTATCGACTGCCCTGTTACATTCAAATTCTGCTCTGATGTCGTCATTTACGATAATAGCTATTATATCACATATTCAAGGTATTACTGAGGCTAAGTTTCTCCTTGTATGGTGAAATACACCCTCCATGTTGTGTCTAATACAGACGGTAAGTTGTCACAGCAGTAAGAGCAGATGTGGAAAGCAGAGTAGTGACTCAGGGCCGAGCCTGAGCGAGAGTCACATTGGAGACGCATTAAAAGGATAAAGTTACATGTAACGACCCTTTGTTGTGTCAAATTATCACACTGATGGCATTAGAATACGTGAACACAAGTTATTAAAGCAGAGTGAGCAACGTAATAAATCAACAAGAGCAATAATATCCATGTGGTGCTAAACCAAAATAAGGATTAATTAAGTGTCAAATATTTTACCAAATGTGATGATGGATTTGACAGAACCTGGGTTGAGTTATTCTAAACACTAACTCAAAATGACCACGGTTTTCTTCAGAACTTTTACACTGAATATCTGACAAGTGCAGTACAATCACATACAGTAACCTCTTAATACCAAGCTCATGATATGGATCAGCAACCTGAAAGAAATATTAATACCTTAAGCAGGGATGATGGGAAATGGAACTGCTGTAGCTAGAGCACAGTGTAATGTGTTGTTGTGCAGATGAGTAATACAGAATAAGGTACACATTTACATAAGAAGATTTTAACTAAATAGTTCTCTTCAATATGTATTTTGTTCTTTACAGTGCCATGAAAAGTGTCAACAAGCTATGAACTCTTCGCACAAATATTTTTTAAGTTGATGTGCAAAAATAGTTTTGATTATTTTTATGAATTAAAATACCAAACATGCAAAATAGAATTGCAACGGGTATTTACACATCTAGTGTTGTCACAGATTAATTATAATACAAATGATTTGAATAATTAATGGAAGGAATTGTGAAGACTCTGAAAAACTATTTTGAATAATGTTTTTAACTGTTGATTATTTAGTTGTGACATTGTGTGAATAAATACACACGGGGGGGATTTCACGGCACTGTGCAACCACGTGTGCAACTACAGCTTTTTCTATTTCCCAGACAAACACTGGGAGTACATCTGAAAGATTAACTAAAGATCCGAGGGAAAATATGGACCAGACATGGAGACACTTGACAGACCTTGGGCCATAGGGTGAAGCAACAGACATAAACACGATGGCAGCTTTATGTGTCCCCCTAGTGGCACAAAGAGGCAACAGCATCTACCAGTAAGATTTGTTTTCTTGTTCAACAGGCCTTGTTTTGGGGGGGTTTGTGTCACATTATTATTTGATTAAGAGAAAATGTCAAGTTAAGAAAATTTAAACAATGAAAACAAACAGCGCATACATAAGCTGTTTTAGTATTCATATTTGAGGAGATTTTTTATACAAAACAAAGTAACATCAACAAATGTAACCCATAAATCCATGTTGCAGTTTACTGTATGCGAGGAAAATATCAACACTACATACAACTCATATCAATGCTGTAAAAAACATTTACATCTTGGTACAAAAAAAAAATTATAATCTGTTCAGTTTGAGTGGTTCTCAGGAACTGTTATCACATCTAATAATAGAACATAATTAAACTAAAAGTCCTGTATGAATGACTCATTCTAGATTTGCATTTTGCCTTCAAATGAACTGGAATTTAAAAGACCACCAGCATGCATGAGACAGTCAGCTCCTAAAGGCAATCTGCTCCAAGGCAGAACAAAGCACCAGGAACCAGGTACAGGTTCTGTGTGTCTGCAGAGGAACAGGTGGTTCATAATGAATCTGATGTGCCAAAAGGCTCACTAGCTACTATTTGGATAGATGCTAAAAGAGATGGTATGGTGGTTGATGTCTTATCCTAAATTCTTTTTCATGTTCAAATATTTCTTAGTCAGACCTCTACATTTGGGCACTCAACATTGCAACTGCTCTGGTTGTCAGCAGAACCTGGCTAGTCCTGTTTGACCGGGTGAGTAAATTAGGGTGGCGTGTGACTCCCTCTGTGGTTGGACAGGAACTAATATCCTCTCTTTAGAATTAAGAGAACCCCACATGGCCCTGTTCAGCAGCTCCAGGGTAGCACGGGAGTTCAGATCACAACTTCTGGACCACCACTTGGAATTTACCTGTCAAGACAAAATTAAGGAGCAGTGAACCATGTGTTTGGACTTTAAGAGACAAACTGGATGAGTTACAGTGAGTAACAGTCTGGGTACAATTGGAAGCCAATGAGCATGTTATGTCACCTCGCTCTTTCCCACAATAAAGAGAGTCGTGATTGGTATTCTTTTAGTACTTACAGGACGGCATAACAGAGACCTCAGCTGTCACCACGCTGTCCAGACCAAGGTTAGACAGAGCTCCTCTCACAATGCCACATGAAAAAGCAAGGTACTGCGGGAAAACAAATACACATTAGCAGCATTAGCTTTAACGAGATGGATTCTGATTTCTTTGGCTGTACACCAAAAAAAGCCTTTAAGTGACGACTACTTGTAGTTGATCCCCAGGTGACAACAGTAGGAATATGTGTGTGTGAGTGTGTGTGTGTGTGTGTGTGTGTGTGTGTGTGTGTGTGTGTGTGTG